GAAGTGTGTTTCTTTTAGGCAACAGACCATAGGTCTTCTTTTTTCATCCATTTAGTTAATCTGTGTCTTCTGATTGGAGAGTTTAGTCTATTTACATTCAATGTTAACTATTAAGTAAGGACATCCTTTTGCCATTTTGTTTTTGGTTTTCTGGTTGTTTTGTGGTCTTCTTTCTTGCATTTCTGTCTTCCTCTAGTGAAGATGATTTTCTCTGGTGGTTTAGTTTCTTGATTTTTATTTTTTGTGTGTCCATTGTATATTTTTTGGTTTGAGGTTACCATGAGCCTTGCAAATACTATCTTATCACTCATTATTTTAACCTGATAACATAACACTATTTGCATAAGCAAACAAGCAAAAAGGAAACTAGTAAAAACTTGCCTTTGTTGTTTCTGTTTATGTCTTATTATACTGCCTATGTCTTGAAAAGTTGTTTTAGTTATTATTTTTGTTTGGTTCATCGTTTAGTTTTTCTAGTTAGGATAAGAGTAGTTTGCAAACCACAGTAACAATGTTATAATATTCTGTGTTTTTCTGTGTATTTGTATTACCAGTAAGTTTTGTATTTTCAGGTGATCATTTATTGCTCATTAATGCCCTTTTCTTTCTGATTGAAGTACCCCCCTTTAGCATTTCTTGTAGGACAGGTCGGGTGTTGATGAAATACTTTAGCTTTTATTTGTTTGGGAAAGTCTTTATTTCCTCTTCATAGTCAAAGGATGTTTTCACTGGAGATACTATTCTAGGGTAAAAGGTTTTTTCCCTCAGCAATTTAAATATGCCGTGTCACTGTCTTCTGGCATATAAGGTTTTCACTGAAAAGTCTGCTGCCTGATGTATTGGAGCTCCTTTGTATGTTCTTGTTTCTTTTCTCTTGCAGCTTTTAGGATTCTTACTTTATTCTTGACCTTTGGACGTTTGATTATTAAATGTCTTGAGGTAGTCTTCTTTGGGTTAAATCTGCTTGGTATTCTATAACCTTCTTGTACTTGAATATTTTCTCTAGGTTTAGGTAGTTCTCTGTTATTTGAAGGTTTACTCAAAATAAACTTTCTATCCCTATCTGTTTCTCTGCCTCCTTTTTAAGGCCAATACCTCTTAGATTTGCCCTTTTGAGGCTATTCTCTAGATTGTGTAGGCACGTGTCATTGATTTTTACTCTTTTTTCTCCTCTGTGTGTTTTAAAATAGCCTTTCTTCAAGCTCATTAATTCTTTCCTCTGCTTGATCCAGTCAGCTCTTAAAGGACTTAATGCATTCTTAAGTATGCCAATTGCATTTTTGAGTTGCAGAATTTGTGCTTGATTTTTAAAAATTATTTAAATATCTTTGTTAAATTTATCTGATAGAATTCTGAATCCCTTCTCTGTGTTATCTTGAATTTCTTTGAGTTTCCTCAACACAGCTGTTTTGAATTCTCTGTGTGAAAGGTCACATATCTTTGTTTTTCCAGGATTGATTCTTGGTGCCTTATTTAGTTCATTTGGTGAGGTAATGTTTTTCTGGATGGTGTTCATGCTAGTCGATGTTCCTCGGTGCCTGGGCATTGAAGAGTTAGGTATTTATTGTACTCTTCATTGCCTGAGCTTATTTGTAGCCATCCTTCTTGGGAAGGCTTTCCAGTGACACTGCAGTTCTTGCAGACTTGTAGAGGTACCACCTTGATGGCCTTGGGCAAGATCTGGGGTAATTCTCTAGATTACCAGGCAGAGTCTCTTGTTCTCTTCCCTTACTTTCTCCCAAGCACACAGAGTCTCTTTCTCTTTCTGTTCTGAGACACCTAAAGCTGGGGGTGGTGTGACACAAGCACTCCTATGACCACCACCACCACCGTGAGGTGCTGGGTCACACCTGAAGCAAGCACAGTGCTGGGTCTTGCCCAAGGCCTGCCTTAATCACTCCTCGGCTATAGCTGTGTTCACTCAAGGCCCTAGGGCTCTACAGTTAGCAAGTAGCAAAGCCAGCTGGGCCTGTGTCCTTCTCTTCATGGTGACAAAGTCCCCCTGGCCACCAGCGGGTCCAGAGATACCATATAGGAGTCAGGGACTAGAGTCAAAAACCTTAGAAATCTACCTGGCATTCTGTTGTATTGTGGCTGAGCTGGCACTCAAACCACAAGACACAGTCCTTCCCCTTTTCTGCTTTTCCACTTTCCCCTTTCCAAAGGCTGAGAAACCTCACCCCGTAGCCACCGCCATTCCTGGCCATGAGGAGTACTGCCAAAGTACCACCGACATTCCCTTAAGGACCAAGGGCTCTTATATCAGCTTGTGGTGAATGCTGTCTGGCTTGGACTCACCCGTCAGGTCAGTGAGCTCCCCTTTGGCCCAGGGCAGGTCTAGAAATGCTGTCCAAGAGTCAAGTCCTAGAATTGGGGACCCCAAGAGCCCACTTGGTGCTCTACCCTACTGTGGTGGTGTTGGTACCTAAGATGCAAGACAAAGTGCCCTTTACTCTTCCTTCTGTTTTTATCAAGCGGAAGGAGTTTTGCCCCATAGCCACCACCGCTGGTAATGTGCATAGTCTCACCTGAAGCCAACAAGTCTCAGAAACTCACCAAGGCCCTCAACATAGTACCGTGGTATCACTGCTGGTTATTCAGGACCCAAGGTCTCTTCAGTTAGCAGATGATGAATGCTACCAGGACTGGGTCCTTTCCTTCAAGGCAGTGGGTTTCCTTCTGGCCTAGGGCATATCTAGAAATGTCGTCCCAGAGCTAGAGCTCAGAACAAGGGCCTCATGACCTCAAGGTGCCCTATTCTTCTGTGGCAGAACTGGTAAACAAGATGCAAGACAAACTTCTCCCCACTCTTCCCTCTCCTCTTCTCAAGTGAGAGGAAGGGGTTTCTTTTGTATCCACAAGCTGTTCAATCTGGGGTTGGGGGAGGGGTGATGCCAGCATTCCCTTAGCTGCCCCAGCTGGTATCTCAGTGTGTACCATGCTACTTTAGTCCACTGTGTTTGGGCCTAGTTCAGCACTAGGACTCACCTATGAGGTGCAGTCCTTATGGCCTAGACTGCCTTTCAAGTTTTTACTTAGACACCAAGAGTACTCTGGCCTTTGGTACTGAGGTTTGTGGGCACTCAAGTTTGGACCACTGGTATCAGTGATTCCCCTCTGGCTGGGGCTGGTTGAGATGCCTTCTTGTGGGTGGACATCAGCTTAGTTTGGTCAGATTTTCTTTTTGCTATAACAAGATGGCACTGGATTCAGTGCTTCACAATTGCTCTGTTCTCCCTTCACCAGCACTCAGAGATGCTCCTGGCACCAAGCCATGCTGCTGGGGTCAGGGAGGGGTGGTGTCAGAGACTCAGAACTGTTTTTCTATCTTTTCAGTGTCTCTTTCAGTGATATGAGGTTAAAACCAGGTACTGTGAGTGCTCACCTGATTTTTAGCTCTTATGAAGGTGCTTTTTTCTGTGTAGTTGTTGGTTAACTTAGTGTGCTTGTGGTAGGGGTAGGGGGACAATCTGTGGAGCTTTCTGTTCTGCCATTTTACCTCACCTCCCTCCTAAAAAATGTTCTTAAATGAGATTGTAATGTTTGTATGAACTTGCATGAAGACAGACTTCTTGTGTTTGGATCCTGTGTCTCTTACCCATTTTGTAACATTCTTCAACGTACTTATAACTCTGTGCCTATGATTCCTTATCTGTAAAATGAAGATAATAATAGTATCATAATAGATGTAAAACATTTAAAACAGTACTAAATGCCATGTAAGGTTAGGTGGTGGTATTATTACTATTTATCCTGTTTACCTCATATTCTGTGGTCATCTGTCAGTATTTGTGAATACCTTTCAGTGACAGGAAATTAATTCTACTTCTTGATCCTAATTCTACTCCCTGTCTGTTCCTAATCTTGTTTTTCCTTTGCTTCCTCTTTTCTCATCTATTCATATTTTATGTCTTCCTTCGTGCTTTATATAACTTTTAGCCACCTTCAGTGTTTTTTGGAATAAAGTAGTGTATGCATACATACATATACATCTTTGTTCCTAGAATTTACCACTTTTAGTGCATGGTTTTTATCTTGGACATTCATATATTCTAGTTCCCAGAACAGTAACTTCGAGACTCTAATAAATTATTTATTGAATGAACGAAGGAATCAATGACTTCAAATTTGTGAGGCGTTGTATATGATTATTATTTTATTCCTAAATCTTATTCTTTAGACCAAAAGGATATCCAGTTTGACAGTGTTCTTTTTTAAGAATGATGCTTATAACTGAATATAATAGTTCCTATGGGATTCCATCAGCAGAGAATAAAAGAGTATTATTATGTCATTTTATTCTATGTGTATTTGTCTGCTACTGTACTTAAAATATCAAATAGGAGGGGCAGTATGACTTTGGACTCACTTGCCATAATGCTGAAGTCAAATGTGTTGCTGTTAAATCAGCTTTCTTTTACCCAATTCACATTTGTGCTTTAAAAAAAAAAGTTTTACAAGACCTTGCATATTTCTGTTCAACTTATTTTTTAACATTCATTCCATTATTTCAGTATTTATTATAAGTTGCATCAGTTTCGTATTTCTTCATCTTCTATATATGGAGTTTATGCCCCAGTTACATCTCCTTATCTGTAAGACTAGTAATACCAAAAAAGAAAATGAATTTCATGTCTTAAAATTTATCATTAGTAAATTCTATATTTTCTGTTGATTATCACTTTTAAAGGCCAAACCCTCTTTTTAGGAATTTTTCCTGAATCCCACCCAGGAATCACATGCTGTAGTTTGCTCTATTTTACTAGATTTGAAAGCAGTCTTTTCCATTTATGTGGAAATTAGATTTTTGTTCCCTAGTTTCAATGCTTACAACACCTTTCACTTACCTGTAGCTCTTATACTTTTGATCAAAATTAATTTTATACCAGAAGCCAGGAAATTTTTTAGAGTAGTAGTTTTGAATTCTTGTTATTTCATTCTACTGTTATCAGTAGCCTCCTCCCATGTTAACACCATTGTTTCTTTCTGTTTACTTTCAGCTGGTTGGTGGAGAATTTGACTTGGAGATGAACTTTATTATCCAGGATGCTGAGAGTATAACATGCATGACAGAGCTTTTGGAGCACTGTGATGTAACATGTCAAGCAGAAATATGGAGCATGTTTACAGCCATTCTACGAAAAAGTGTTCGGAATTTACAGACTAGCACAGAAGTTGGGCTAATTGAACAAGTATTGCTGAAAATGAGTGCAGTAGATGACATGATAGCAGGTATGGGGTTGTCTGACAGGAAAGTATAACTTAAATGTTTATAAAGTTTCACATACTTCCCTTTATATTCCATAGGTAATGTAGACTTGTTGACACTACTTTGATTTAAAATAAATGGAAATGTATGGAAATTTTACTTTTTATATTAATGGAAAACGTGAAGAGTGGAAGAAGAAAAACATAATTACTGTAGTAGACAAACATAATTACTGATGTTGTTTTCTAAATTTTAGAAAATCTCAGTACCATGGAGTGCTATGAAATCTATCAGAAAAATAAACAGTATCTTTTTATGTAGTATTTCATTAAGCTTTTACATAATTAAAATACCACAATAGGTATTACAGTTCTGTATAATGAACATTTTACCAAATTCTCCTAGTTCTGTGCCCCTCAATCTGGCATAAATGCAACTATGACAGGAGGTACTAAAAGTCTTAGATAAGCATGTTGTATCTTTTGGACATGTCCATTTTGGAAGCAACTTGTATTAAAATAAACTAATAGATTATGGGCTAGAACATAAAATTCACCAAGAATTTCAAGATAAAAATACTAATGTTTTGCTTGTTTGGGTTATTTCAAACAGTAACTTTGAAATCTATAATTTTTTCACCACCAACCCTTTACTACCTTGCACACTTATTCTCCTGTGTGGCTGGATGCATTTCAGAAAAGTGTTTTGAATATTATTCCAGAGCAAGTATCATTCCAGAAAATAAGTTTAAAGTTTGAAATGTTTATTTTTTGTAAGCCATGAATTTTCAGCCTAAGTATCTTCTGACATAAAAGCATTTTCGTAATTACACAAGTGCTGATATTACCCTCCACAGTATCATTCCTGATCCGGGAAAGTAGTTCAGATACCAGAGAATACTCTTTAACATTTTGGCTTATGCATTTAATTATTTTTAAACTTTATGGAACAAAACATTAAACAAGAAAGAATGGAATGAAAAATGGGTTAAAAAAGAATGCAAAATTGCAAAAAGAATGCTTTTAATTTAAATATTTCAAAAAATTTGATTTTCTGAGAAAATATATTAAAAATCATATCTAATTACCTTCAGAGTGGCATATATCTTTTTTTAGAATGGTTTAGCAGTCCCTGTATGGGGTACTGATGGCTAACTTGATGAAAAGTGAGATTTAGACATCTGTTTCTTAAAATACCTTTTTAATAAAGATATATTAATAGTAGCATTTCTATAAATTCTAGAGTTACTTAATAGGAATGTATTAATATAGAATTATGTGTACACATGTTTTGTAGGACATCACATGATCTTTCAATTCTTATATCTGAGCTTAAGCTCTTTTTTTTTTTTTTCTTTTGTAAACTGGCTGCTACTCTATGGAGTGCAGTTTAGAGAATGAGCCAAAATTACACATATAGTAATTTACTGGTACATAATTCATCAGCACTGAAATGTAACAGTGACAGTACCATAGAAGTTCATATCTTGACATTGCTATTATATAAAGCTCCTTAATTCTCTTATCTTTTTCTCAGTAATAATATTAATAACACAAAACTTTCACTTTTTGTAATTTCTAGCATTTCCCTTCAAAAGAGCTTGATGTTGGAAGGATATGAGAAAAGAGAATAAATGTCAGAAAAATACCTCTGTCTTGCTTTTTAATAGAGAAATTAAACTTTGAATATTATACTAAGGAAGAACCGGCAGCCACCAAAACACTACTAACATTCATATCTGAATGTATTGTAGTATGTTAAGTTCAATGGGGTCCTTTTTATTTAATAATATAGTATAAGTGTCACTAGAAGTGGCTAAATTAAATATGTATAGCAAATTGATGAGAAAATTTCATGGTGTTAGTATTTTTTCTTTTAAAAAAAATAATTTCTGATTACTTTCAATCTTGTTCTCCAGAAAAGAAGACCTTCTATAATAGAATTAAACTGAGCTGCTTGGTTGTGTTACATATACAATATATAAGTAATTACTATTTTTTCTCTTTTAAAAATAATTTCTGATTGTTTTTAATCTTGTTCTCCAGAAAATATCTTCTGTAATAGAATTAAACTGAGCTGCTTCGTTGTGTTACATATATAATATGCAAGGAATTTTTTAAAATTTCTAATTAAATACAAAGTTAATAGATTACTTTTTGTGACATACATGGGAGATAAGATAAAGACTTGTATAACTTGAAAAAAAAATTAGATGTTGCAAATATTTTAAAAAGTTTTTTTTAAAGTATTTTATGTAAACCTTTAAGAAATCTTCTGTAAAGGTTGCCATTGCAGCTAATTGCTTACAAATACTTCATATTATAGAAACATTAAATGGACTAAGACAAAAATACTTCATATTAGCTTAGGGTTTTACAGTACTTGAATTTTTTATAGGAACATGCTTTTTGACCTATATATACTAATATTTTCATACATTTTTGTTGCTTAAGTGATGACATGTTTTATTTCGTTAAAATATTACTCTGAAAGTGGCATATCCACTGTCACACTTTTATTGTAGAGATTACTTGCTTATTGTGTGTTAAATAAAATTATTTATGAATTGATTAATTATTAATTGATGAAAATAAGCATACTAAGTTTCAATTTTGAAATATACAAATGACAAATATTTTTCAAAGTCTCAAATTCCAGTTATTAATCTGTGATATGATATTGAATAATACACATTATATATCAGTACTAAGTATTTCCGCTTACCCTAACCTAACCTTTTTATTAATTGATTATAAGCTTTTAGAATATATATGTGTATTGCTTTGTAGTAACCTTTGTAGTATGTTTCATTCTTAAGAAGTGCTTTAGAAATTGGGAAAATGAAGTGTAAAAGTTTAGATGTTCAATTTCTTGCAAAGAACAATGGCAGAAGAAGTATTAATCACAATATGTAGAGAAAGCAATCAGAGACAAGAGATTAAATGTGTAATTTTTCTCATTATTAGGTGTGCTGGTCTGTTATATGCACATCTACACTCACACTAGCATGATGGATACCATTAGTAATGTACTTACAGACTAGTGTGTAAGAGTGAGGGTTCTGAAACTAGACTGTCTGGGTTTGAATCCTGATTCTACCACTTACTAGGTCTGTGTTCTTGAGCAATGTGAATAAATGATCTGTGCCACAATTTACTCACTTTACAAGGGGATAAAAATGGTACTTACCTCATAGGCTTGGTATGAGGATTTGTGAGGTTAGTATATGTAAACCACTTGGAATAATGTCTCACCTGGAGTAAGTGGTAAAAATTGCTAGTGGGCCAAGGAATATACCAAGAACATATTAAGAATGGACAATTCTGAAAGACAATATAGTCAGCTGTTACTTTTTCATTTGACAATAACCAATTTACAATTTTACATCTTTGTATATTTTCATATTTTTACCTACCTTTCCCTGCACACAGCAGGCTGTGTTGTGGTGTGTGTGTGTATGTGTTCTGGGAATATATAAAATCTATTTTACATTTGTGCTAAGAGAGCTTAATTGCATTGGTGATTTAATGGGGGAAAATCATATAATTGAAATAAATTATTTTGGTTATTTAATGAGTTAAAAATTGTTAATTGGGATGGCTATTCATGAGAACATTTAGCTGTATTAGATACATATATATAGAGAGAGATGACAATGACAACTTTTATCTTTCAAAAAGTATATTACCTTGACAGATGGCAGCTCATGACTAGAGTTCAGAATAACTTTATTTTCCTTTGAAGATCTTCTAGTTGATATGTTGGGGGTTCTTGCCAGCTACAGCATCACTGTCAAGGAGTTGAAGCTTTTGTTCAGCATGCTTCGAGGAGAAAGTGGAATCTGGGTAAGCTGTGGTCAGAGGGAAAGGTATTCAGTATTAGTTCATTAATACTTAATGTTCAAAAGTTTGTCTCTAGAGAGCTATATACTTGAATTTATAATGGAAATTGCTTTCCTCTTAAATGATTTAGTAAATGTTTTATAAATGATTTAAAATTAATTTTCTCTCTAGTTAAAAAACAGTCCAGTGGCTAACGTGGTATATTAAGTATTGTTGTTAAATTTGTACAGTGACATTTATTTCTTTTATTGTTTCCCCAGCCAAGACATGCAGTAAAATTATTATCAGTTCTTAATCAGATGCCACAGAGACACGGTCCTGATACTTTTTTCAATTTCCCTGGTTGTAGTGCTGCGGTAAGTTTTAAATACATGTGCTGATTTTTATTTATTTATTTTTAGGTCAACTTTAGTAAGGTTTAATTTACATATAATAAAATTTACCAGTTTAGAAAGTACAATTTGATGAGTTTGGAAGTCATACAACCACTACTATATAATGATTTCAACAATTCCATCACTTCCCCAAATTCCCTTGTGCCTGTTGGAAGACATTCCCCCCTACCCATCCTCACTCCTTACTACCTCTGATTTACTTTGTGTTCCTATAGTTTAGCCTTTTCTAGATTGTCATATAAATAAAATCATACAGTATAGTCTTTTTTTTTTTTTTTTTTGACGGAGTCTTGCTGTCACCCAGGCTGGAGTTCAGTGGTGTGATCGCAGCTCACTGCAACCTCTGCCTCCCCGGTTCAAGCAATTCTCCTGCCTTAGCCTCCCGAGTAGATGGTATTACACACACCCGCCACTGTGCCCAGCTAATTTTTGTATTTTTAGTAGAGACGGGGTTTTACCATGTTGGCCAGGCTGCTGTCAAACTCCTGACCTGCTGTTTGCCCGCCTAGGCCCACGAAAGTGCTGGGATCACAGGTGTGAGCCCCTGCACCCGGCCTAGTATATTGTCTTTTGTATCAAGCTTCTTTCATTTACCATGATGCTTTTGAAATTTTCTATGTTGTAGTTTTAATTACTGTTTTATTCTCTTGTCTTTTTTTTTGTTTGTTTTTGAGTAGTATTGCATTTTATGGATATACCACAGTTTATCCATCCTATCCATTCACTAGTTGATGGACTTTTGAGTTTCTAGTTTTTGGCTGTTATAAATAAAACTGCTGTGAACATTTGAGCACAGGTCTTTCTATGGACATATGTTTTCTTATATTTCTATTAAATACCTGAGTGAGATTGATGGGTTTTATGGTAACTGCCTGTTTACTTTCATGAGAAACTGTCTACTTGTTTTCTGTATTAGAACATTGTACATTTTCATAAGCTGTGTATGAGAGTCCCACTTGATCTGCATCCTGGACATTTTCAGTCTTTTAAATTTGAGGGATTTAAATGGTTGTGTATAGTAGTCCCGCCTTATCCATGGGGGATATATGTTCTAAGACTGGTTCAGTAGATACCTGAAACTGTGGATGGTACTGAACCATGTATATAATATATACTATGTTTTTTTCCTCTACATACATACCTGTGATAAAGTTTAATTTGCAAACTGGGTACAGAAAGAGATTAACAACAATAACTAATAAAACATAACAATTATAGCAATATATTATAGTAAAACTTTTGTGAGTGTTGTCTCTCCCTCCTTCTCCTCCCTCATTGTCTCTCTTTCAAAATATCTTACTGTACTGTACTCACCTGTTTTTGGACTGTGGTTGACCATGGGTAACTGAAACCATGAAACCACAGATAAGAGGGGAATCTACTGTAATGGTACCTCATCATAGTTTTAATTTTGCATTTCATTCATGACTGATCATGATGAGCATTTTTCATGTGGCCATTCTTATATCTTCATTTGTGATGTTCTGTTCAGATCTTCTGTTCATTTAAAAATTTTGGTTGTTTATCTTATTATCCTAAGAGTTCATTATATATTTGGAATGTAAGTTCATCTGTTAGATCAAGGTAAAATATTCCCTGTTTTAAAGAGTCAAGAAAAGTTACATATTGTTTGACAATAAAATGTTATTTATATTGTATGATAATAAAACTGCCTGAACTAGTGGCTTAAATACTAAAATCTGAAAGGTTACTATAGGGTTTAACTCTTCATTTGAAATTGTGTGTGTGTGTGTGTGTGTGTGTGTGTGTATGTGTATTTTTTTTAACAACAAGTACTTAGAAATCTTTGACTACTTTGAGATTATTTATTGGCCACCTACAGAGTATTTTCTATATCTTCAGTCATTATACTTGGAGTATACTACATTCCTTACTCTTGAAGAACTCTGATGGCTGGACATGCAGATACAGCTTGTTACAATAAGAGTTATAAATGACATTGTAGATTTAGGTACTCATAACTATGGGAACACAGTTGAAAAGAGAAATCACGCTAGGTTGAAGTCCAGGAAAGCTTCACAGATGAGGAACATATTAGTCTACCATTAAAGAATAATTGAGATTTTGTTGGAAGGAAGAATGATTTGGATAGAAGCAACATGATGTATAGAAAGAGGAACTGTAAAAGAAATGGAATAGCTGGTATATTTAGATGTACTTTGGAATGTGGGTTTGGGTAGTAGAGGAGGATAAAATCAAAAGGGTTTGTTGGAGCCATAGCATGTGGGAAGTCTTGTATAACCTGAAAAAATTTAAATTTTATTCTGAATGCAGAAGATTTTTGACATAGAAGGGCCGTGTTTTATTTGAGAAAGGCCATTATCAGCAATATGAGGATCTGTTTGGGGAACAGGTTAATTTTAAAATCATAATGGGTAATTATCTTTTATGTAGAATTTGGATAAAGCCTAGGAAAATAAATAAATCCATTCAGATGTTTCTTGAAGTCAGGTGAAATAATCAGCTACTTTCTCATTTATTCCTTAGAATGGCTACATTTTATTTGATTGCTATTTTCAAGGGAGTGCTATATTTTTCCTTTTCTGCTTTTGAATGGATCTGAATCCTTTTTGTTTATAAATATCAGTGGTTAAGTTTCTGAGTAATAAATGTCATGCTTTGCCTTTCTTGGTTTCAATGTTGTTAGCATTATAAACATTATCTCTTAATGCTTGCATGTCTTCAATATTGATTCCGTTAACATTTTCTAGCTCAGTCATTTTTGGCTTTAAATATTCAATCTCCTTTAACCAAATGGGTTACTACTGAAAACCTAGCATAAAACATAGAAAACTGAAATTGGGAGGCTTATATGTAAGAGATTGTATACTGATGAAACTAGATGGGGACTTCTTGGAGTATAGTCTGAAACCCGCTATGTAACCTAGAGATAAAATCTAATTCACTGAGTATTTGAAAATTGAATGCTTCTATAATCAACAAATACTATTTAGGTATAGTTAGAATGTTTTAATAAAATACTAGCTTTTATTTTATGGATTTGTTTGTGATTTTCTGATATTTATACTTTGATTGTTAATCTGCAAAAGCCATATTTGACGTTAGCTACTATCACATTTCTTTAACTGATACTTTTGTACCTTTCTCATTGCCTTGTAGGCAATTGCCTTGCCTCCTATTGCAAAGTGGCCTTATCAGAATGGCTTCACGTTAAACACTTGGTTTCGTATGGATCCATTAAATAACATTAATGTTGACAAGGATAAACCTTATCTTTATTGGTAAGTAAATGTTTAATTTTAGGACTTTTTTCTTTAAGTACTTGAATTCTATAAATGTATAGTCTCAAGGCAACTTAGAATATATATATATGTATATATGCTAAAACTGTGAAGACACTGTAAATCAGTTTTATTTATGTGTGTATATATGCATTTATTTTGCTATTGATTCTAGGTCATCTGCCTCACGATTATCATTCTTTTTCAATTACAGTTTAAAAGTCAAAGGTACAGACTTTCTGTCCCAGTCTCCTTCAATGTATATCAGTTGTGGGAATTTTAGTGAGGATTGCTGGTCCCTGGAAAAAATTCCAAACTTTTACCAGATTTCATTCATTTTTGCCTTTTCACTTACTTTGTTCTATTAGCATAACTGACATATGCTTGAAAATTGTTAATAATAACTACGTAAGAAATTATAAGGTAAGATTATTTGGTGTGGACAACTAGAATGAGTTGATCAACCTAACAATGTGTTGATCTGTAAGGGTTGAAAGCTTGGTAATTTTAGTATGCCAGTAATGATGCACAGTCAGCATACTTATGAATAAGAACATCAAACATTCATTGATTGCCATATTATATGCTAGGCATTGTAAATGTTTATATATATGAACTCATTTAATACTTGCAATACTCTGAAATAAGACTGTCTGTGTTCAAGTTCTGGCTTCACCAGCTACTATTCACCCTGTATTTTTGGTGTCTTCAACTATAAGACGAGAATAGTAATAGTGTCTATCCCATAGGATTTAATGAGAGAATCATATTTAAAGCTCTTTGTTTAATGGCTGGGTCAGAAATGTGAGCAAAGAAATACGTGACCTATTACTGTCTTCTAAAATTCTATTATAAAATATTATATATGGATAAAATGAGAGCAAGTTTTAAATAAGCATCTGAACTTCCAAACATAAATGGGGTTGGTCTTCAGAGTGGTCATTTTGGGAGGTCATACATTAATTTCAGTGGTACCTTCATTTTTCAATGATTAAACATTTTTCTACATTGTGATTAAATTTACAGGTAAGGGGAATGCTTCTGTAGAAGAAAACAACTATATTTCATAGTTACATCTTTTTATTTTTTTAAACTAAAAATGTACTGCTTTACTTGATCAGCTGCATTATTTATCAACCTTGACTCTGACCAAGTTTTTTTTTCTTTTTGTTGTTAATTTGTAAGCTCTTTTCAAAGGATTATAGAGCAGATTGTTATTTAAAATGTGAACTTTGTGTAAACGTGTTCTGTATTTGCTGATTGCAAATGGTCCTTAAAAGTAGATAAAGTCTACTTGGTGGTAGGTTTTTGTTGGCAATTAATTTGTTTTTAAGTATTTCTGAGATATTAGATTGAAATACTAAAAGCTTTCATAGTCTTTTGTTTCCCAGTTTAAATTTCTTATATTTACTTATAACTAAACCTTTTATATTTTTGTTTAGTTTTTATTTGACACATATTAAACTGCTTCTACTGTACAGGGAAATAAGTTTTATTTTCATAAGAATGTTTAATAGCCATTAGGTGTTTAGTTCTTTTTATCAGAGGATATTATACCATTGTCAGTTGTCTTTGCAGTTTTCGTACTAGCAAAGGAGTTGGTTACTCTGCTCATTTTGTTGGCAACTGTTTAATAGTCACATCATTGAAGTCCAAAGGGAAAGGTTTTCAGCATTGTGTGAAATACGATTTTCAGCCACGCAAGGTAGGTAAAAGTAAATATTTTTATAACTCACCTGTTATGGCAGAATTCTTAACTCTTTTATAACCTCTGTAGTATTCTCTTTCACTGGTTTTCCTATGCTTTTAATGGTTTTCTCTTATCCTTGTCTGTGTTTCCTTTTTATTTTTATGTTTGATTTTTATCTTCTATAAAATCAGTGTTTTGATCTTCTGTGATGTATTTCTGTTACCGTCTCTTATTATCTCAGTGTGATCTGTTCTATGGCATTCTTTCGATAAATACTTATTATTTACTGAGTATTGGACACCATTGTAGGCACTAGGGATTTATAAATATTTGCCCCTTTTTAAAAAAGCTAAATGTTAAACCCTCAGATTAAGCAATGCACCGTTACTTTTTTTGTGTGTGTGTAGGAGATTCACCTAATCCTAGTAGTTCTGAGTCTTGTTTCCTAAGATGGAAGGTTTTGTTAATTTCTGATGCTTTAATAATGCTGGCTTCAAAGAGAAGAATGTTGCTGTGCTATTAGTTTTGGCTCATGAAATGTGTCTTTACTTAATATCCTAAATAATAGCAGAGACAAGGCCAAAACACATTTTAAAAACTGCTCTAAAGAGAAAATGCAGAGAACTGTGCAACTGTATGATTAGAATTATAAGAGATAATTCATTCATAATTAGATGGCATTTTCTAGAGAGATTTTCCTGCCTGTCTACCAGACTCCGTCTTTGTGTCAGAATAACAAACTATCTGAAAGTCCAGATGAAAGAAAACAAGGACAGAGTGCAAAGGAGTTCCCGTCACACATGTTTAAGGCTTTGTCCCCTTCCAGGTTCAGGGTTCTTTCTTGGGTATATGACAGTGAGATTGTCAACATTTTTTAGGGCACACTGACTCCTCCTGACAGAAATATCGCCTTACTCTTTGTGATTAATGGTACAATCATAACAGATATGATGAACTCAGATGCGGTGAGGGGGAGGTCTTTATTTCTTTTTCATATCTTTTTTGTTTGTTTTCTTGTTACGATCTGATGTGTGTCTTGCTATATACAGAGAAATTATTTTGGGTGGTATTTTCAAAAATTTGTTTAAATTTTACATGATTCTAACAAAAAATATTTGCTTTATATTTAATGTCAGTTATTGTCATTTCTATTAAAGAATATCAATTTAACAATAATTCATTAATATATACTTAGAAAATAGTTTAAAAAGCAATGATTCTGAATACATATATTTGTTCATTATAATGTTGTATTCTTTCTTTTTTAATATAAATAGATTATTTTAATACCAGTC